TCATCTTTTATAATTTACCAAACAATTGGGCAAATTGGTGTTTCTGTGCATTAAAGTTCAAAAAAGTTTATTTAAAAAAAATTGCATTTGAAAAACCGTATGCACAAATACTGTGTGACATAAAAAATTGCAAACAAACCACCATTTTATTCTCTAGGGCCTCTGCTTTCAATAAATGTTAGAAGTATATTTCTACCAAAAAATACTGAAGTGTCAGAAAAGGCTTGGTCTTCAAGTGGTTAGAAGAGTGGGTAATGTGTGGCATAAGTTTCTAATGTTGGCCATAAAAATGCCAGGATAGAACAATCCTTTTTGGAAAGTAGACACCCCAAACTATTTGCTGAGAGTCCATGGAAGATTATATTTTTTGCCACAAGTTTTTTGGAAAATTATGAACATTTTATATTTGTACACAAAGTTGGCACTTAAATTATATATTGCTCACACATACCTTGGGTGTATGTGGAATTACACCCTAAAATACATTCTGCTACTTATGGGGATACCACATGTGAGAGACTTTTGGCAGTTTTCCACGTACAGGACCTCTGAAACTGTGATAGGTAGTCAGTAAGTGAAATGAGGGAATTATGCCTTTTTAAAGCCTGAAGGCGGGCATTAGTTTTAGAGCAGCTAGGCTCCCAAAAAGTCCCCCACATGTGGTATCCCCATATTTGGAAGTAGCAGATTTTGTTTTTGGGGTGTAATTTCACATATACCCATGGCATGTGTGAAAAATATCTTATTAAAGTGACAACTTGTGTAAAAAAAAAGAAAACTTTATTGGGTCATTTTTTAAAAACTTGTGACAAAAAATAAATCTTCCATGGGCTCAACATGCCTCTCAGAAAATTCCTTGGGGTATTTAAGTGACGCATAAATAAATCTTCTGTGCAAAAGAACTATAAAAAATATATAAAAGTGAATAGAAGTATTCAACACACACAAAAAAAATAGTTAATAAAATTAAAATGATTAATTATAATTATATACAATCCAAAAGAAAAGTCCAAATAAATCAGTCCACAAGATGATCACCACATGAGTAAAACTCTTCCCTTCTTGGCAGGAAATGAAAAAACAACAAGATCCCCTGTTAGGGAACACAGCTCTGTTATGTTTACCATGACAGAGTTGTGTTCGGTGCCGATCACTGGCTACCGGTGGTCAGTCATTGGCCGGGACCAGGTAATTGGCATGTGCTGTAACAAATCACAGCACGCGTGAGCCCCTGGCCTGAATGCACGGATCCCATACTAGGTATGTGATCCAGCGCAGGAGAGCCATTCTGGCACCGTACATGAAAGTTACACGCAAGATTGGCGAATGGATCGGGCCCATAGGTCACTGGGCCCGAAGCTGCTGGAGAGCATCAAACCTAGAGATGTTATTATCCAGTTTCACTATTTTAACAGCAAAGAAACCTTGCTTCTCTTCTACACGCAACAAGTCATCTATAGAATTTAAAGGAGACAGGCTCCAACTCTTCTGTGATTTGTCCCCCATTACCCTGGCAAAAAAGCGGGTTTTGAAACCGGTAACCACTCATCTTCAGAAACATAATGTCGCTTATTGTGGGGATTCCCTTTCAATCTTGTCTCCAAGGATAACACCCAAGTCATTCTTTGTGATTTGCATGAGGCGGCCTCCTTCCTTAAACAGTAGGGACTTCCTCCTCTGCCTGAAAAGTCCATTCTGCAACCACCTACGCCACCCAGGCCTTCTTCTACTCCGCGCACGACCTGGACACCCGCTAAGCCTGGGAGGAAGGGATTTCCGCACACTACTCAAAGGCCTCGAATCCCTGGCTTGGTGGACCCCATCACTTGACTCTTCCCTGTATCAAGGTTCCCGCCCTGTTAATGGGGTTGTCCTAATCCCATGTGTGTTTTATTGTTTTTTTTTTTTGCATTGTTGTGTCCTGGTTATCATTGCTATGTGAAATGCTGAGGTAGGCACCTGTCATGTTGGGAATGCTGCCGTGTTGCCCCCTGGTGTGTCGGACCCCTGGTCCTGATGACCCAGGCTATTTTCAATGTCCCGGGTATATATCTTTGATGATATCTTTGTTTCTAGACATAATCCCTACGGCCTCTGTTTTTAGTGATGCACTTGTTTGTGATAGGCCTGTTGCCATGCTAATCACCTGGTTTTCCTTTTCTGTTATTTCTTGTTTTGCCTCATCGATGACAATTTTTCTGTATTCTCAGGTTATACAGCTGTTACGCCTATTACTGTTACATGATGGCTTTAAGGCTGTTGTCATATAATGTGAAGGGTCTTAACTCTATCCAAAAACGATGGATGGCTCTGAAGGAGTTCAGATCCTTGGGATCAGATAGCATATTTATTCAGGAAACCCATTTTAAACAGGACGGCTCTTTTCGCTTTGCTTCTAAGAGCTTTTTGCAATCCTATTCAGCTTTTGATCCCTCTGGGAGAGCTATTTTGTGTACAAAAACTGCTCCCTGCAGGTCTCCTCCTCTCGGATTGACCCACTTGGTCATTATGTACTGTTGGAATGTATGTAAGAGGGTTTCATGCAATTTTCCAGTCTTTAAAATCTTGGGACAATCTTGCCATCTCCTTCCTTGGATGGGTTAATGTGCTAAAAATGACCAAACTTTTGTATCTGTTTGAGATGCTTCCTGTTCCTATCCCCATGTCCAGGTTGCGCTATCTTCAAAAATTCTTCCCCACTTCATCTGGCATGGCAGAGCTCACCAAATTGCCCGAACTGTCCTTCTCTCTCCTCCATCTAGGGGAGACCTGGGGCCCCCAGAGATTGTGTTGTATCACCTTGCTACCCACCTTGTGCCCTTGTCTTGTGATCATCTCAGCGTCCCCTAAGAAATGGGCCAAGATCGAATGGCTACAATTATGTCCAGTGCACCCTTGTTCCCTACTCTGGTCTCAGTCCAGTGTTGAAAGCACCTCTCACAGACACCTCCTACTTGCATTTCCAATGCATTTCACGATCTCTATATGGTGGTGGTGTAGGGTTAAATTCGCTCTGTTTTCTCAGTGTTCTCCCCTGACCAATGTCATATTCAGTCCCAGTCTCCCAGATGGTTTGGTTTTGCCTTGTGTGAATTTATGGGCTGAGGCCAATTTATTTCAATTGCGTCACCTGGTCCATCCAGTGACTCGTAAGCTAAAATCCTTTTCTGAGATTCAAAAAGCTGCCCATTTACCTTCTCACCAATATTATGTTTATCTACAGATACGCCATTTTTTCTCCTCCAAAGCTTCATTGTTAACTCTTGAGAAACCTACACTCTTTGAACTCATCTATATTCAAGGTCCGCATCAGCGAGACATAATTTCCTCTACTTATAAGATCCTTCAAGATGCCTGCCCCCTTTCTATTGATACACACCTTTATATGTGCAAATGGCCCCAGATACTCAAATGTAATATTGCTTTGGATCAATGGAGTAGGATTCAGGAGGCTGCCTCCAGATCTTCTATATGTGTAGTATATAAGAAAAATACTTTCAAAATACTGATGTTTTGGTATAGGACCCCTGAGGTTCTCCATGCTCACAATTGGGAAGTTCCTTCTACCTGATGGTGATGTGGCGAGGACACTGGCACTTTATTTCACATTTTTTGGACTTGCCAGCACATTGTACCTTTTTGGAGAGAGGTCTTTAACCTTTTGAAGCATCTTTTACAGGTTCCTATTTCATTTGAGCCCATTTATTTTTTGCTGGGTCTAACTTTTTCAGGCCTCTCTAAATTTGCCAAGAAGCTGTCCTCCCATGTTTTAACAGCAGCCAGGAGAACCATTCCCATGCATTGGCTTTCTACTACACGGTCCAAATTGGTGAAAGTCTTAATAGAGATTAGAAGAATGGAATACCTCACTGCTCACTGATAATTCTATCCCCATTTTTGAGGCAGTTTGGGAACCATGGGATCTTTATATTTCTGATTTGCCTACTCCACTGTCTGATACTGATGGCTAATTTATTGCTATGTATTGACATTATATATACCTATATACCTCTCACCGATGAGCCTATTTCTCTGTTTCCTTTCTTTTATTGCTTTGTGCATTTCTGTTTTTTTGTAAATCATTTTGAAAATCAATAAAAAGTAAATTATAAAAAAGGGCATCTTTAAATAAAGCTCCTCACATACATGTAGGCTGCATTCCCACCTATGTGCTTTAGCCCCTACTGTATGTTTTAATGCATGTACGCAGGTTAACAATTGTTTTGGGGGGGGCATGGCTTGGTGCTTGAGCCACATGGCAGCACACTGCTAGAGCTCCAGGGATAGATCAGCTCTACAGCCACTTAAGTGGTACACTGCAGGGCAATCATGGGCAGAATTGTTAAGCCCTCTTCACACAACCACCCACATTGCTCACAATCTTCAGCACACCAGATTCAGGATCTTTTCCAAAGTAGAGGCACACAAAGGAGCGGCTGTGTTGGGGGTAAGATGGTGCCTTTACACCATTAGGAAGTTCACAGTGAGCAGTCCCTACCAGCTTCTGAGGATATGGTAAGAGAGGACACTCGCTCCAATCCACCACTCACAAACTCTGAGATGACACAGATTGCTGCAGATCTTAAGAGATCATTTACATCTGTAATTACTGATTTAACCACCTCCCGCCCGCCATATAGTAATATGATGGATGCAAGGCTGTTCTCTCGTTCTGGGAGGACATCATATGACATCCTCCCATTCAAACCATGCATGCGCGGCTCCCAGAGCGCGCAGTGCGGCGATCGGCGGTGTGCTGTGTCCCTCGGACACAGTGGATCACCGGTCCATGGAAAGAGCCGAAGATGTCGGCTCGGTCATGTGATCAGCTGTGTCCAATCACAGCTGATCGCATGTAAATAGGGAAATGCCGGTTATCTGCATTTCTCTCCTCACGAGCTGTCACGCTGACAGCTCGTGAGGAGAGGAGAGCCAGTAATCAGCATTCCTCGGAGGGGACATGTACACAGATCATCAGAGCACTGATGATCAGTGTTTCCTGATGATCTGTGTAGCTCCAGCAGTGCCACCTGTCAGTGTCCATCAGTGCCAGGTCTCAGTGCTCATCCATGCCACCTGCCAGTGCCCATCAGTGCCACATCAGTGCCACATTTCAGTGCCCATCAGTGCCACATCAATGCCACATATCAGTGCCCATCTGAGCTGCCTTTCAGTGTCACACCATCAGTGCCAGTCAGTGCCACCTGTCAATGCCAGTCAGTGCCACCTATCAGTGCTAGTCAGTGCCGCCTATCAGTGCCAGACAATGCTGCCTATCAGTGCCCGTCAGTGCTGCCTATCAGTGCCACCTGACAGTGCCAGTCAGTGCCACCTAAAAGTGCCAGTCAGTGCCACCTATCAGTGCCAGTCAGTGCCGCATATCAGTGCCACCTATCATTGCCGCCTATCAGTGCCACCTATCAGTGCTGCCTTTCAGTGCCCATCAGTGATGTATGTCAATGCCCATCAGTGCCACCTACCAGTGCATCCTCATCAGTGCCCATCAGTGCCACCTATTAGTGTCTATCAGTGCAGCCTATCAGTGCCCATCAGTGCAGCCTCATTAGCTCCCATCAGTGAAGGAGAAAAATCACTTATTTACAAAATTTTATAACAAAAACTAAGAAAAAATGTTTTTCTCTTTTCAAAATTTTCAGTGGTTTTTAGTCTGTTTAAAAAAAATTAAAAAAAACCCAGAGATGATTAAATACCACCAAAGCTCTCTCTGTCACAAAAAAATGATAAAAATTTAATATGGGTACAGTGTTGCATGACCGCGCAATTGTCATTCAAAGTGAACCATTGCTGAAAGCTGGAAATTGGCCTGGGCAGGAAGGGGGTGACAGTGGCCTGTAGGCTAGTGGTTAAAGGAAGATCTTCTATCTCTCTTTGAGCAATTAACAACATTGCAGAAGGCTGGTGCTTACAGGGACAAGGCCATATCTAGGCTGGAAAAAGTTTCTGAAACACATGCCACACACTTGATTAATGTGAATCGCCACCTTAAAGACTTACTGTAGATAACAGAGGGAGGTGGAATAACATCAGAGTGAGAGACGTCCCTGAATCTGAGTCCGCTGAACAACTCCTGATGACATTACAATCTATCTTTAACAATCTTTTAGAGAGGCCTGCGCACACTGTCATTGATTTTGGCAAGGATGGCAGATGCCTCCCCCCCCAGGGACATTATTTGCTGTAGTGCCAATTTCCCTCTGCAGGAAGAAATCCTCAAAAAACCCAGACAAAATGATCTCATTACTTTTAATGGTGATGGTGGACTTGCACTCGTTCAGGACCTTTCCCCTATAACTTTAAAAAATAGAAGAGCACTACGCCCTCTACCGACTGTTCTGCAGGAGAAGGGGATTTCTTATAGATGGCAATTTCCTTTTGTTTTGCAGGCCACCCTGAATGGCAAGCACTATCTGTTGAGATTGCCTGCAGATGTCCGGGGTTTCTGTGATGACCTCCAACTTCCGTATGTGGAACTACCAGAATGGTATGAGAAATATTGTCTTCCATGAGCAGTTCCCACCATCGAATCTACGCTTCTGCAAAGCCCTTCTAAATCACAGCACAGGAAAACCAGGCACCAGAAGCAGGCCGGTCTGGGTTCAAGCTTGTCCTCACCGAAATCTAAGCAGTTCAAAGCAAGAGAGGATTCTGATGATACCTGACTGTGATCAGTTTGTTTTATCCCTCTTCTTCCTCTTTCACAGTCCCTGTTGCTCTTTTCAATCCATTGCTATATCCGGATGGAGAGGACATAGGGAATTCACATGGTAAGGGAGGTCTTGTCCGTGGCTAACCACAGTTAGTTCGCTTCCCTTGTTGTGTGTTTGTTCTTGCTCATATATTTATGTTTAATATTCTTTGCCTAATTGATGGTTATGTGCTTAATAGACCAGGTGATACTAGTTTATTTTACTTACGGCCTGATTGCCGGGATGTTCCTAGTTATTGGCTCTCAGGACTCACATGGTCTAATAGTTATGTATCTATTGGCACAATGTTTGAAATTGTTACCTCCATGTACAATACATTTTCTATATTTGCAATTGATCTCTGGATTCTATCTCATCTCTATGATACTGTCCCTGCAGTTACCTGAATTCTGCATTTAATCCATGTGTTGTTGGCTTTAAGTTCAGATCTCCCTATATGTATCTACCACTGTTTATTACAACTTGTGCCATTCGTACGGTAAGATTTACCATAGGCATTATCTTTCACTATTGAAAGACGGCTCTGCAGGTTCCTCCCATTAGCCCCACAATTTGGCAGAGTAACGCCTTGAGTTCAATATCATAACCTCTAGTTTTTCTGCTACTTCTGCTGATGCTTATTTAACCTTATGATACAGTATTTTTTATTGTACCATATACCAATTGCTCTTACTAGGTGTGCAGTATCATATAGGTTAGTGATAAACGAGAATTGTTTCCCACGTGTTTGTTTCGAACAGATCCACTCTCGCATTCTTTGTGGCTTTTTTTTTCTTATACTCTCTCCTTATTTCACCAGCATGACTTTCTCAAATCTAGGGAAAAGGCCCCTGATCATCTTCCATAATGTTAGGGGCCTAAATGTTCCTGAGAAGCGTTCTCAATTATTACGTGAGCTAGATAAAGCCAGGCCTTCTATAGTGTTCCTGCAAGAAACGCATTTTAAAACTGGACAGATTCCAAAACTGTCGAGCAAATACTTTACAAAAACATACCATTCCACTATTGCTTTGGCCAAGACTAAGGGGGTCACCATACTGATCAGTAGGGAGACACAGATTTTGATCACAGAACAAATCAATTGACCCGGAGGGTAGATATGTCTTCCTAAAAGGCTCATGGGCAGGCTCACTGATCACCTTGGCCAATGTCTATTTCCTCAACTCTGCTCACATCTCCTTCTGTCAACACATCGTGGATGAGCTCAAAGGGTTTGCTGCCGGCTGTCTGATCCTAGGGGGAGATTTTAAAATCCCACTCAAACTTGATTTGCACATGTCTAATGGGACAAACTGTATCGCATATAAAAATCTTAAAAAGGTTAAGCTACTTCTGAAATCTTTACTGCTAATTGACGCTTGAAGATCACTTAACCCCACTGGCCATGATTACACGTGCTATTCCCCACCACACAACCAATATGACAGGATTGTACCAATAAATAAATAATTTGCGCTAGTAAATGTGTATAAATATATAAATATATATAAAGAAATCATCAAGTCATAAGTCCAGAAAAAAATATATATATATGCCAATACCACAAAAAAAATAAAAAAACTTTTAAGTGCAAAAAACTTTTGTGCAAAAAAAGTGTCTAAATATGAAAAATTTCACCAAAAAACCTTGATAATATAATGGCAGATCATCCATAAATATATCTTCAGAAACGGAAACTCTGCAACACACCGATCCTCATCGATCAAAATAACAGGATGAAAAACTTTGTAGTTAATCGAAAATCCACTTCTCCAATAGATAAAGGACCACCTTCAAACGTATCCATGGGGGGAAATGCCAAGCACTCGAGAGAAACAGAAAGACTTCATGGTGCAATATTATAAAAACCAATTCCTTTATTAGGTACTCATTGCACTTACTCAAGAGGTGTCCCAGCCGACACCAGCATCAACAGCATAACAGCAATCACATAAACGAGCCTGGCTACTCAGCACATGCGCAGTAGCTGGCAGCCAAAAACGTAATGACGTCACATCAATCAAGCTCCGCCCTACGCGTTTCGTCATCGACGTCCTCACGGACGGAGCTTTAAAAGTTTTTTTATTTCTTTATATATATATTTATTTTCTGGACTTATGATATTGATTATATATATATATTTATATTTTATACACATTTACTAGCGCAAATTATTTATTTATTGGTACACTTTATATATGGTGATTTTTTGCAGCTGGTACACTATTAGTAAGTTATATAATTTTGACCATAGGCGCTATTATTAATTTTTCTAATATGACAGGATTGATTACCTTTTTATTCCTCAAAGAGACTTCCCTCTGCTGACTGACACTAAGATAGGGATATAATCTCTTTCAGATCATGCCCCACTATCGCTGAGTTTGACTCTGCCGGGTAACACAGCTAAGATGTATAACTGGAGACTTAACCCGGCTTTGTCGACTGATGTTGAAATCCTGACAGATAATTCACCAATATTACTCCGCCCTGTATAACGTGCCACCCAGTCACACCCCCAAAGATCTTAGGGGTGAGAAATTTGATCTAATCAATGATTTTCTTCAGAAAAGTAAATTGCCTTCCCTGAAATGCTCAGATGTCAAATTGCTTGAATGCCCAATTGGGGAGATAGAGTTGGCTAATGCTATTAAAAGTCTAAAATCGGGGAAAATCCCAGGTCCACAAGGACTGACGTTGCAGTATTATAAGACTTTTAGCTCCCTACTCTCTACGCCCCTACTGCAGACACTTAACTCTTTGACTATGCCACAGCCTATACCCCCTTCTTTTTCTCTTGCTCATATCACTGTCATCTCCAAAAAGGTTAAAGACCCTATCGACTATACAAGCTACAGACCAATTTCTCTACTTAACATTGATATAAAATTACTTGTAAAAATAATGGCAACCGACTTAGATTCCACCTATCTGATATTATTGGACTGGAACAAGTCGGTTTTATGCCAGGCAGAGAAGCATGTGACAATATTGTCAAGGCCCTTAACCTAATCCATAGGGCGAGGGTCGAGGGCCTTCTCCTCTCTACCGATGCAGAGAAGGCCTTCGATCGCATGTCTTGGGACTTTATGTTCGCTACATGTGCTCATATTGGGCTGGAACCTCACATGTTGAATTGGATCTCTACTCTGTATCAGAATCCAATGGCTAAGATTAAGGTTAATGGTACGCTTTCTGAAACCATAACTATTAAGAATGGAATGAGACAGGGTTGTCCCCTGTCTCCTCTTCTGTTCATTCTCACTCTTGAACCCTTCATACAGCTGATTCAGCAAAATCAGGTGATTCATGGTTTTCGTATTAACGATTAAATTATCAAAACTGAGGCGTATGCGGATGACCTGTTATTTTTTCATATCTCAACCCCATATTTCTGTACTTAACCGCCTAAGCTTATTCAATCATTATCATTTTCTCTCAAATTTGAAAATAAATTACACTAAATCAGAGCCATTTACAGTAAGCTTTTCCCCCTTAGCCCTCATTAAGCGAATTGCTCTTTCAGATGGGTTCCTACTGCCCTTAAATATCTGGGTATATGGTTCACTTCAAATCTCAATGACTTGTACACTCAAAACTATTCCCTTACTATGCAATATTCGGAAAGATCTCAGAAATTGGCACACAAAAACTTTCTCTTGGTTTGGTGGGGCAGCCATCAGTAAAATTAATATTCTGCCTTGAATACTTTATTGCATGAATGCTCTTCCGATTAGACTCCCATCATCCTTTTTTAAGAAATTACAACAGGCTCAAAGAGCCTTTGTGT